TGGTGACTTACTTTTATCATTTTCTGGCTACATTTCAGTATCTTGAGTACTTCTTGGCTTAGAATTGTCAAACTTTGTCAGTTGATACATCTTGGATTTTCGGATAATGTTGACCAAAAGGTAGGTCATAGTGACCTACTTTTATCATTTTATGGCTACATTTAAGTATTTTGGGTACTTTTTGGCTTAGAATTGTCAAACTTTGTCAGTTGCTGCATCTTGGATTTTCGGATAATGTCGACCAAGAAGTAGGTCATGGTGGCCTACTTTTATCATTTTATGGCTACATTTCAGTATCTTGAGTACTTTTTGGCTTAGAATTGTCAAACTTTGTCAGTTGATGCATCTTGGATTTTCGGATAATGTTGACCAAGAAGTAGGTCATGGTGACATACTTTTATCATTTTATGGCTATATTTCAGTATCTTGGGTACCTTTTCGCTTAGAATTGTCAAACTTTGTCAGTTGATACATTTTGGATTTTCGGATAATGTTGACCAAGAAGTAGGTCATGGTGACCTACTATTATCATTTTATGGCTATATCTGAGTATTGGGTTCTTTTCGGCTTAGAATTGTTAAACTTTGTTAGTTGATGCATCTTGGGTTTTCGGATAATGTTGACCAAAAGGTAGGTCATGGTGACTTACTTTTATCATTTTCTGGCTACATTTCAGTATCTTGAGTACTTCTTGGCTTAGAATTGTCAAACTTTGTCAGATGCTGCATCTTGGATTTTCGGATAATGTCGACCAAGAAGTAGGTCATGGTGACATACTTTTATCCTTTTATGGCTATATTTCAGTATCTTGAGTACTTTTTGGCTTAGAATTGTCAAACTTTGTCAGTTGCTGCATCTTGGATTTTCAGATGATGTTAACCAAAAGATAGGTCATGGTGACCTTCTATTATCATTTCATGGCTATATCTGAGTATTGGGTACTTTTTGGCTTAGAATCGTCAAACTTTGTCAATTGATGCATCTTGGATTTTCAGATAATGTCGACCAAAAGGTAGGTCATGGTGACCTACTTTTATCATTTTCTGGCTACATTTAAGTATCTTGGGTACTTTTCGACTTAGAATTGTCAAACTTTGTCAGTCGATGCATCTTGGGTTTTCGGATAATGTTGACCAAAAAGTAGGTCATAGTGACCTACTTTTATCCTTTTATGGCTATATTTCAGTATCTTGAGTACTTTTTGGCTTAGAATTGTCAAACTTTGTCAGTTGATGCATCTTTGATTTTCAGATAAAGTCGACCAAAAGGTAGGTCATGGTGACCTACTTTTATCATTTTATGGCTATATTTCAGTATCTTGAGTACTCTTTGGCTTAGAATCGTCAAACTTTGTCAGTTGATGCATCTTGGGTTTTTGGATAATGTTGACCAAAATGTAGGTCATGGTGACCTACTTTTATCATTTTATTGCTTTATATAAGTATCTTGGGTACTTTTTGGCTTAGAATCATCAAACTTTGTCAGTTGATGCATCTTAGGTTTTCGGATAATGTCGACCAAAAAGTAGGTCATGATGACCTATTTTTATCATTTTATGGCTATTTTTACACATGTCTTGTACTTTTTGGCTTAGAATCTTCAAACTTTCTCAGTTGATGCATCTGGGGTAATAGGTTACTTAGAGTTAGAAGCTTCAAATAGAAATAATAGATTGTATAATTTACCAGAAGATGATACAAGGACCTTGGGCCTCTTGTATTTATTTTTACAACTAATAAGCAATGTTTTTATGAAATGATTATTATGAATTTCAAATAAGTATTTTCTTTAAATAATATGTATATGAATATTGTTTACGTAAAAGATATTTGGATGCAACATCGGTCAGTTACATATGGGATTTATCCCATATTTGAATATTGATGGGAGTAAATGTCCCACATATCATGTTCTATGGGATTTATCCCATATTTGACAATAAATGGGAGAAAAAATCCCATTTGCCGGTGTTCGTGGGATTTATCCCATTTGAACAAATTTGTGGGAGAAAAAATCCTAATGGGAGAAAAAATCCCATCTGACATTTTTTCTCCCATGGGAGAATGGTGGGATAGTTGGTGGGACTGAAAATCCCACCATTCTCCCATGGGATTCTGACATTTAGGACTTAATATCTTTTAAAGTAGTGATGTTTATGAGTTCAACATGAGAATATGTGATACTGCAAAGAAATCCCACCAGGTGCTATAATTTTTTTTTGGACATGACAATTAGAAATGGTAGCAAAAAGTCCGGACTATGTCGTGTCCGGAGTTAAATGTCGCACTGTTAATAAGACTCTGACAGATGCACAAGATGGACATTGAAGATAATGAGAGTTTATCGATTTTCCCTTTTGGGGGGTATCGTCATTTGAACTTCAATAACTCAAGAATAATTACACAAAATCATATGAGAATTTGGTTATTTCTTTTTGAAAGATGATTTTAAAAGTTAGATAGGAAAACTAAAAAGTATTTTAAGAAAAACAAATTTAATTCACCTCAAAAGTTTACCCTGCGTTTCTTTTTCCTTTCAGTATAGTAAAAACGTAACAAAGGGAAGTAATCAAAAGTTGAACCCGCTTTTGATTGTTTAGTTTGGATCTTGAATTTCGAAACTCGAATTTCGAATCTCGAATTTTGAATCTCGTATTTCGAGAGTTGAATCTCGAATGAGCCTTCTGGGCTTTCGTATTCATGAACTATTTTATCGCTCTTTGAGACATCATGTTAGAGAATTCTTAAATAATCTTGGTCGTCCATCTCAAGATGCAATTATTTTCCTTTCTTAAAAAATTATATACATGTACATGTAAATTATACAATATAATCTTTAATATTAAAATGAAAAATACATTTTGTTTCTCATGAATTTGAAGTAAGAAAAACAATATAGACAAGAAAAGAATGTAAGAAAACATTGTAAGAAAACTGAGAAAACCCAGAGAAATTTTGAAATATTATTTTAATGAAACATTTGAAGACTTATCAGAGACTTGTCAGAAATAAAAATGTTAATTTTAATGTTGAAGCAAGCGAATCATTAACTATTTCTAGACAACTTATACTGTTGGATATTTTACATTCATATGTGCGTCTGCTTTCCAAGGACTTTCATAATCCTAAATCATGTACAAAGAAATACCTTCTCCCAGTCCATATGTATATTTTATGTTTATGTAGGTAATGTTATATATAATTTCTTTCGTTTGAGGAACGAATTAGACAGAAATCATTTTCTACTTGGTATGATAATGAATAAGTTTTTTTAAATGAATTTCAAGGTTTTCTCTCGAATACATGGGGAATATCAAGTGTCATTTTTAGAATCGGTCTCGGTAGCAAGGCTATATAAGAGGTGAATAGCGGTTTAAAGCTGAACACGATTCGTAAAAGTAATGTGTCCGCCATTTTTGCTCCCAATTCTAGCCACTCTGCAGACCCGTATATAAAGGCCAGGACTAAATCAATGTTCAGTGTAATAAGTCGATACCGGTGTAGACAGACGTATGCTATACAGGACTTGGTAGCGAGAATAATAACGTAATACTTCGTCTAATACAGGAAAGTAAGATACCAAATGAATTTTTAATTACAGTTGTACAGGTCCTTGCAGTATACAAACAACATAAATACACATAACTGCAATAAAATGTAAACAAAGTAATGCAAGGTAACCAGCACAAACACGGGTCTCCATACCATGCCGATACCCATGACAATAAAGCACTCAGATGTGACGAATGCGATGAGTATACCCTAGTGTTGAGGTATTGTAGATAATGATATCGAAAATGGCGTAACAATGCCTCTTTCCGAATCGTGTTCAGTTTTTAATGCTAGGGCGACACATACGGCACGGTAAAAATTAAAATTCTATATTTTTTTCAGTCAATCCAACTTTAGCCCCGTGGGGATCAGGGTTAGAATAGATCCTCAGTATATCCTTGCTTGTCGTAAAAGGCAACTAAATGGGGCGGTCCTTCGGATGAGACCATATAAACCGAGGCCCCGTTTCACAGCAGGCGCGGCACGATAAAGATCCCTCCCTGCTCAAGGCCATAAGTGCCGAGCATAGGCCTAAATATCAGTGAAATATTCTGGAGAGGGAAGTTAAACAGTATACAATCAATCAATCAATCCAACATTACTAACTACATGTACATGTTTATAAAAAATGATACATATTTTGCATGCAATATGTACATTGTACAATAAACCTGTACTTTCATTTGAAAGTAATGAATGAATTTAGAGTAGAATGTGCAAAACCATGGATGTGACATTATATAAATCGTCACAAAATCAGTCAATTATTTTTCTTTATAACTTTTTTACTGTATAAACCTATGATTATGTTATCAATTTTGTATTTAAACAAACTTAATGATAAACGTGATGACTTAAACTCATCAAACGTCAACTCCCCTTACTTGTGCAACAATATACCTTGTTACCTGCATACCGGTACACAGTTTATATTTCTCAGTTGATTCGATATTGAAGAGCGTGCTCTACGTATGAACAATTTCTAAAACGAGGCAAGTTATTGGCAAGCAAGTTGGTTAAGCAAGAATATCAGCAGTTTCATTTAAAGTCATCATTTCGTTAATTTTATGGTCGATACAATGACTTCGTCATTAAATAAAATTTATCATTTAGTCAAACGCTGACTGATTTTTTTCATATTGATTGTTGGACCATTTTTATCAACCAGGATTTTTCCTTTCTTCCCCCGAACATAACAAGGTGCTTATCGATGGTGTAACCGCTCAGCAGGATGCTCATCCCTCCATGGCACCTTATCCCACCCCTGATGTTCTGGGGGTCGTTGTTCGCTCTCCTCCTATTTTGTATTGTTTAATCACAGGCACAAGACGTTACTTATTTTTCATTTCATATAAAATATACCCCAACTTATAATTTTTTATATAAAGAGAAAAATAATTATATTATATTTCAATCTAAATCAATAACATTAATGTATTGCTGTTTCAGGTCGATTACAGAGACAAGAAATGTGGAAAAATCTCATGCAATAACGATTCTAAATGTATTCACATAAAATCAGACACATATGTCTGCATCAAAGTAACAGGTATATATATTTGAAAGATAATGTTATTGTTTTATAGACAAAGAATTTCTATCTTTGATTGGCCTAGCTGTCTTAACAATATTACATGTATAAAGGGAACATAATAAATAACAATCTAAGCGATACATATCAGATGTATTATTTTTTTGTAACTTATTCGAAACATACTCAAAAGTCCGGGTTTTTTTGTTTGTTTGTTTGTTTATTTAATTTTTTTTGTTTGTTTGTTATTTTTTCATATTATTGTTATAGTTTGTAAAACAATGTCTTTTAATTTATAGTTCATGGGGGATGGAGTGGTTGGAACTCTTGGGGAGGGTGTTCTGTTACATGTGGGAGTGGCACTAGAACCCGAATACGCTCTTGTGACAATCCCTCGCCGAGGTTTGGAGGTCAACCATGCAGTGGAGAATCCTCAGAATCGTCTCTATGTAACACTCATAACTGCCCCGGTATGTTTCATGTCAAAAGCTATTCATGTAACTGCTGATCTAAGCAGTCTTTATTATTACATTCCTAATGCAAACATGTGGAAATGCAATATTATTTCACTATTTTAGAATTTTACAAAAACTTTCTCGTTAATTTTGAACAAATTAATATAAAAATTTTAATATATTCATATTTATAGTTATCCTAAGGGATAATTCATTAAAAGAAACGTAATTATATAATTTAGCAGTTAAGAAAACTGTTTCAATTTATAGTTCATGGGATGTGGAGCGGGTGGTCCATATGGGGAAGTTGCTCTATTACCTGCGGGGGTGGGCAAATGTCAAGATCACGTAACTGTGATAACCCACCACCCATGTATGGAGGTCAAGCCTGCAGCGGGCAATCATCAAAGACTTCCTCATGCAATTCACTCAACTGTCCAAGTATGTTTTATCTTTTTATAAGTTAAGATGAAGGTGCATGATTAAAATTGGTGAATACAATAAAAAAACTCTTTAAAAATAATCAGTACACGCTAAAAAAATACATTTACAATAAGTCTCAATATTTTTGTCTTGCGAAAAAGACGCATGAGCAAAAGTTTTGTAAATATGAAGTAAATCTTATACAGTTAATGAGTTTTATAAATCAATTAAACAAAAGAATGTGATGCAGTTCATATAGGTCTTATTTTATTTTTATTTCAGTTGATGGAGGATGGGGAATGTGGGGTGAGTGGGGCCAATGTACGACGACATGCTCACATTATCGATATCGTAGCTGTAATAATCCCAGTCCACAATACAACGGGAATAATTGCGCAGGGGACTCTAGTGAAACTTCCGGCTGTACCACTTGCAATGGTATGCTGAGATTTAGGGAATAAATATCTTTGTATTTGGAATTACTCACCTTTTGTGCTGATTTAACAGTTGCAAACTGAGTTTATAGGCAACATGTAATATTTTGTAAAAAAAAAAAAAATCAGTTTAATTTCAATCAACTGTTATTCATGCAATTTTGCTTTCAGCAAATAAGGTACTAACTTTGGCGTTGTAAGCACCTTTTAGTAAACAGTTGATTACAATAATATTGATGGACTTTTTAAGCAATGTAAAAAAAGGAAGCAGGATACATTTAGTAAAGAGACATTTTCATAAAGATAAATATTTTACAACAACGCGTGCAATTTTGCTTAGATGCTGTACTATACTAGTAGTAAAATATTTTATCTGGTCGCCTCCAAATGCAATTCAAGCAAGTAACATTTGAGCCACTCAAAAATCAATAAATTGTACGTCATTCAAATACAACATTTTCCAAAACTCATTTTTGCAAACTAGACCCTACAATGTACAGCGTGAAATGATCAAAACAATCAACACTACAAATAAATCTAATTCTCTTTTATATGAAAATGATACTTACCTTCTTTATCATGAATATTTAGAAGCAACCAGTGGGAGTGTAAGACATCGTTTTAGGCATTATGTAGAGTTGATAAAACTCCTGACTGAAAGCCCGATGGCTACGGAAATTTTGGAGGGGGGGGGGGGGGGTGATCAATAGCAGACGCAAAAAGCGTACAGAAAAATGTAAAGTGAAATTGATAGAATGATGAGAATGCGTTTTTACAACGTAAATGCATATTAAAAACTCTTTAGTCTATACATGAAATATACATGTATCTGATATTTTATAAAGAATTTTCCGTATTCGTTCATATCTAATCAAGTGCATTAAGCAACAACAAAGGTAGAGGCAATTCAAATAGTATGTGATATTAATTTAGTACATTTCTTATCAATTTCCTTTGATTACGTTCAGGCGTAAGGATCATAAGTGGCACAGCCTACAACAATGGAAGAGTTGAAATATTGCACAATGGGGTCTGGGGAACTGTCTGTGATGATTACTGGGATGATAATGACGCAGCTGTTGTTTGTCGCATGTTAGGATTCTCTGGGTAAGGCCATTCTTAGCTTTTTTTTCAATATTTAGCGTCCGCGTGCGCCTTTGTTTTTGACATCTCATGTCAGAAAAAACAACTCAGGAGTCAAAATTGATTGTTTTGGTCACAATTTGTTATTCCTGCCAATGTCTTTTATTTTCTATTTGTATAACATGTCTTATTTGTTATATTTTAAGTATATATATATATCTTTGATGTTGTTAATGAAAACAAGTCTCTACGTTAAAAATAGAAAAACAAGATCTTACCCATGGATTTACGTTAAATATTTTTTTCGTAAAGAGTAAGGGTATGTGTGCGTAGATGGGAGTTTTTTTGCCTTGTGTTATTTTTGCAAATTTGTAGATTGAATCTTTCAATGAGCGGACGCTAAACAGAGAAAAAAAATAAAATTTCCTAAAATGGAAGAATTAATTTGTTAGCCTACATTCTTTTAATTGTGGTGCCTTATTTCTGTCCCACTTGTCAGATATTTATGTCACCTTAGGTGTTTATATTGACTAATTGCAATATATTTATAACAACTCAATTGTCATATTATAATATGTCGACTTTTCAGATAGATATTATCACGACAAGAAAATCGGTATCTTGTTTTAAAGCATGTTTTAAAAGACACACATATGACATCTACTAATCATCCTAATTTTTGACAAGTCGAAATGATTTTCTGACAAGTACATGCACGTACTTTCTGATAAGTCAACATCATTCTCTGACAAGTGGACTTGTCCAATGTTATGGCGAGTTTTCAGTTAATGATGAAGATTTGCGTAATGTAAGTCGATTAGTCATTTTATTATATAGTCTATCAATATTCCCTATATAATCTTTAAAAGCGCAAACAGTTCATTACACTACATATTCACTGGATTTGAGGCCGTATTCACCGGAGGGTCATTGAGCGTGCAGCTGCATTGTGACATCACAATCAATACCTCAAACTGTAAACAATGGTTGCAACGGCCAAACGGCAGGGAAAATATACAAACCTACTGCAGAATTAATTTTAATCATTTGGACGTTTTACACGTAGCGAAACTCGGAAAGGAAAACACAGAGAGGACAAACTGTAATCTAGACTTTTTTTTCAACGACAGAATGTAAATGAAAATTGTGTCGTCATTCAGCCTTCAATGTCTTATTTATTCAAATTCGGACTATATAATAAAACAATTATAGACGCTTTTGGGTTCGCCTCGGTGAATATGAATATTTTTTCTGCTGAATAACAAACCATATTCAACACTAAATGAGTCCATAATTGTATAATGCTGACTTAATATTTTGTCAACTGATGGACTAAATTGAACAATGACATATTTTAAATTTCACTTTTTTAGAAAGTGACAAGTAAACACTTGAAATAATT